AGTATGTTAATGAAATTTGGCAAATTATCAGTAAACATTTAAATGCTTTCATATGAAAAATATCAAATTTGTTTAAGTCTTTAGGTTTGTTAAGCAGTGTGTTTCTCATGCCTTTTTTTTCTTTTCACATATTGCCTTTCCAAAATGCAAAGTATTTTTCATTTTAAGATTGAAAATACATTTATGCATCAGAAAATTTCTAAATTTCACATGCAAAATCTTTAATGTTCAGATAGTTATCAAACGTTTCTTAAGAAAAAACTTTATATTTTATCTGTTGTTTTCACTAACAATTCTCTGTACGGGTTCTGTAGATTTGACCAATCTTGCAACCACCATAAAAAATTAGGAAATAGATATAAGTTATGCTTCTTTCATTCTAGAATGATACCAAATTATAGCACGAAAACATAAATGTTTAGACTAAATAGCTTAAATCTTGTAACATTATACATTTATTTATATTTATTATATTGACCTTTCAGCTGTGCATGGCTAACAATACAGAAATTACAATGATGTGGGCTCATGTGGTCTCATCGCATCAAATATTATAAAACTGACCTGTAGTCTTTACAAAGTGACATATCTTGGCTGTGTTTTAGGAACTAGTATTTTGTTAATTATTATACATTATATTACTTAGAAATAATTTCTTAAACTTATTTTTCTTAAAACATAGAACAGTAAATGAAGTAAAGCAAACAATTATCTGTTCTAGTTACAACCTTTGTACTTGGTTGTTGCTTGAAGTAAGTTGCTAAGCTTTTAAAATTTTGCACATTGAGGATACGAAACAAAATTATTTTAGGTTTTATATACGCAGTTGAATAACCAAAAAATCATAAATTTCTATATCGATACTATAGAATTCCACTATACTTTATCAAGCTTAGCAACTAAGCTGTATTAAAGTCTAAAAGAATATGACATTTCGAGCAGATTAAAGACACAACTTACCTCCTTGAAATCTTGGTTCGAAAAAGAAATAGGCAGCATCCTAACACGTGAAAATGGCTGAGAAAGCCACTAGGGGGACATTATGAGCTTTCAAATGGTTATTCACTGTGTTTAATTCATTACATGAGTAATATATCAACAAAGAGAAAAGATACAAGGTTCTTATTTTATATTCTAGCTTGTCAATATAGGTAATTGGAGTTTCTAATTTGTACGAAACTATAGACTTAGTATTTTGACATCACAAACATTTAATTTGAACCAGTGCTGCATTCAATATACCACATGACAAACAAAGATCAATGTTTAACTGTGTTTTTTAATATTTACTTTTAAATTAAGAAATTGAATAATGTATAATAGTAAAATTTGAATTATAATCTATAGTTTGATACCAAACTTACTGACATAAATTCATGAAATAGTTCAATAAAATTTTGAATATGAGTCAACAAACACAATGACATGGCCTTTGACCCGTGACCCATCTGGAGAGGGTTAAAAGATTCCAGCATTGCACTGATGACATAATCAAAGTCTTTTAAGATAGAAATTGGATTTTAAATGCAGATGTTAAACTCAAAGTGCCAGATCCATGTTAAAAACTACAAGAATTGACAGATATTATTGTACAAAACATTCAAGTGTTCTTCCATACAGAGTCATTCAAATTTATTATTGTTAGAGGATTAAGAAACAAGGATTATGTTGTGAGGCTCTTCCCTGGGAGATCTGCTCATGCAACAGAACTCACACGTGCTTGCATATTGTTGCTACAGGATACAGGTACAAAATAAAATCTACTTTAAAACAAATTAAAGTGCATGTCCAATGGGTCAAGTCAGAAAGAGATGCTGGAAACAGTTGGATAACTATACTCACTGGAGTTTATGGTGCAAATTTATAGAAACTATATTACCTGTATACTTTTGAAGAGCCATTATTAGCAAGCACACCCGAAAAATTCAAAGAAGTTACAGGTCTATGACAAAGTTTAATAGACTATCTAGATCTTAAAGCTTTGACAGTGAAAAACATAGCAACTACAGGGTATGAAGTTAAGGTCAGGAAAAGCAAGGTAATGTAGCCTTTGTTGAGCTTGATAATTCCAGGACACTGACAAAACATAAATTTCAACTCATGGACACAGGCAATTTCATACTAATTCATAAAACAATGAACCAGAAACTCAAAGATTCTATTACATTGATGAAATTTTAATAACAAAAATTAAAACCAAATTTTCCCTTTTATGTGAGGGCACTTTTCCATTGTAAAAATTATTTTTATTATAGTAATATTCACTGACTAATACGTATTTTATGTGACCGATCACAAAGTCAAAGAGAAACAACACAACCTCCATACAGTTCCTGCTCCATACTGTCATCAAGTACCACTACAGCTACAGTGATACTGATGGATTGTAACTTTTTTTTTTGGTTAAGGGCCCAGTAGTCACATTCCTTTTGTTGTCGTGGACCACCACCTTTTGACTGGCTTAGGTTCAAAGTATTGTGGCACTTCAGTAAACATTCTTAGCAGATCTTCTGTGGTTTCCCATTTCAGTGCTAGTTTCTCCAGAATCACTTTATATATACAAAAACTGATGTTCAACCTGGGCTGTGGTTACAGGTCACATCAATAGGATTGTCATGATATACAGAACATTAGGACACCTTTGTGCATCTCTTGGAGAATTTTCTTCTACATAGCATGGAATGGCTGCTCTATGTGGTTTATGACAATGTCAAGTTTAAGTTTTGCTCATTCTTGTGGTATGTCATCTTTCTGACTTACATTACATTGTAGGATTGATTGAATGTGGTTGACAAATATTTTCATCTGCATATTACCTGAGTAGCCAACTTGTCTTTTTGTGGGAAATATTAGCAAGGTCTGTGACTTCTGCATTCTGTAGTACACTATATCCTCTGAAAGTTTTGAACCTTATAGTTACATGGGTAATGATTTTTTCCAAAACATTGTGAGAGTGATTTTGGAAGTCTGTTGTGTAGTCTACTGTCATTTTAAGTTTGTGGCCATGAAAAGTCCAGTCTGTGTCTTCATTTGCTTCAGCCATCTTATTTGCAAAGTCTTTGTCCTTTGGTCTCATTCTCAGTGTAACCCCTTATGGTTGACAGAGGCAGGTTGCCATCTTGAAGTGATGCTAATAGCTCTGTCAGATCATCTACCAAGTTCTATGTAGACTGGAGATTGGTGTCCAGTCATCGATCTTCCCTGTCTATATCAATGGCTAGATTCTCCAAGGTTTACAAGTTAATCATTTCTCAATCTGTGTTGATTTTTTTTTACTGGGATTGTACATGTCCAAGTTGATTGTAGTTGGCTCCTATCTGCACTTTGCCTTAGTGGTGGAGTCCCACCACTATCGACATTTGTGGTGCACAAGGGTCAGGTACTGCAGTTCTGGGTTTTTTCCTTTGGACTCGCATAGACTTCACATGGGTTCTGCCATATCGTTTGAGTTTTTTTTCTTGTTCCCTTCACTCCATCGTACTGTGCTTACAGCATTCTATGGACGATTGGTTACTGCTAGCACCATCTCATCGATTGTTAGACTATCACATCTTGATTCCACTTTCAGATACAACCCAGGCAGTCTTCCCTTTTGGGACTGT